ACCCCCCCCCCCCCCAAGCAGTTTAATTAAACAGACTCCATAAGTGAGAAGATTCATTACAAACCACGAACAACTAGATTAAGCTTCCTTGGTGTATTAAAGCAGCAACATTGACGGCGATAAAAAAAGAATGATGGATTGATTGATAAATTACTAGTAAACCAATGGTTGAAGCATTATTATCTCTCAAACTATTGCAACATGGGGTGAAATTATTTTTACAGTACTTACCATTACTAAACTCTAAACATTTCTGGCACTATTTTGCACTTAATTAGTTAGAAACATGCCACGTTGATTCAGTTGGTACACAGGTAACAATTAAAAAAATATTTGAAGCAGCAATTAATGACTGCAGCACTGTAACAGTTTTGGTCAGGTAAAAATGACAATATCGGTGTCCTTCCTCAGTGATTTAAATGCGTCCATTTTGGCATAAGGGATCAACTGTGACGGACTAGGTTGGATGTGCTATTGGTATATTTTTATCCTAATATATTTTATCACCGGCTAACGAGTAATTTATTAGTCCGCTGTCCACAGATGCGATGCATTTGGTCTGTTTGACATTGAAGTGGTTAAATATCATGCTTTTCGTGAGAACTGCTGATACTTCGGATGTGAGTTCGCGTTTGGAGACGTGGTGGATCGGCTCGGAAGATCCTGAATGTGCTGTGCTTGAGTTTTCAAGTTTTCTGTTTAGTCTCATTTAAACGTTGTTGGGATGAATGAGATAATTGGATTACTGTCTTTCTGTGCGCCTGTTTGCTGGTTGTGCGTATATCAGTCCATCAGTCGTCACGGTTTTTGCGAATGGGACCTAATGTTTGCCTATATCAACATGTTGGTTGAATTGACCTAATTGACCGAGTTTAGTGTTTCTAGAATCAATCGTTCCCCTTCAGCTTAGCTCGCAACACCAGTTTTGCAATATCGAACGCGATCTCGTGACCTGTTCGTGCAAAGTGGTTTCAGTGGTTCGGGTCAACGCGCCGGAGGGCACGCTTGTGTTCGTGTAGACGAGTGCGTAGTTGTTTGCCTGTCTCACCTTTATTGTGATTATTGCAGCTAAGGCACGGGATTGCGTTCGTGCTGTTCGACTCGATCCTTGCTGTCGAAGAGAAACGATCTCACGATTACTACTGGTTTATGGGCTATCTTGATTCCCAACGGTAGGAGCATACGTTCGGTGGCTTCTGACGTGCCGCGTATGTAAGGCAACGTTGTCCAACTTCCCTATTCTGTGTGTTGTTTGTTTTTTACCCCTGATACACACGTTGACAAAGTCCCTGGGATATGCGTTAGACAAGTATAATTCAAAAAGTCGACTGATTTATCTTGTCCTTAGCTCCGGTGTGCTACAGTGTGTTCATTCGGCAGAATAGAGTTCGCATCTGACTTTCCATCTTGCACAAGGGATGGGTGGTTGCCATTGTAATAAAGGATGCAATCTGTTGAGGTCAGTTTTCGTTCGTTATATAGATATATATAACACTGGCCTACAAAAAAGCTTGGTGTCAGCGCAACAACAATAGTCACGGAAGTAGAGGGGGTCGGTGGAATATAATACTGATGTTTCTTGTGTTGCATTTTCTTTAGATGGAGCAAGGGGATTCAGCAGGCGGACCCTACAGCATTCACGCCACTGATTTGTATTCTGGGGCATATCTCTCCTCGTCTCTAACCAAAGACCGTTCTCACTCTTTTGGCCCCATCCTGGTAGGCGAGCTGCACCAACCGAATTCAAAGCCGAAGCTAGCTTCTTCATACCTCTGCGCCATTTCATGGTCTGACCGCTGCGGTGCTTCTTACCCAGCACATGTAAAAGACCGCCGAAAGTTAAGAGATGGGCAGACTTACGAAAAGCTTGTTAAACCAATCGGAGGCGGTGTGGAGCGATTACTTCTTTCAGAGAACGGCTATTCACACCCAATATGGGACGGAAAAGCTCGTCGTTGCTCACCAGATGTTCCTCAACAGATACGAACAATGCTTCACAGGCACTGGCGGTCAAATACAAAAAGTCGATGAGCATCCTCGACTCGAAGAGGCGGAGCCATAGGTTTCGCAGGTTCTTGAAATTTACTCTAGCTTTCACCATTTGTGAAACACTCTCCTCCTCAACAACATCGCCAGCTGCAGTGAAGCTCCCGGAGGACTTAAAGCTCTCAACCGCCTCCATGTGATCATTACGTAGAGTAAGTGCATGAACAAGCTCCTACCAGTCTTAAACGAGTACTTTGAGTTTTCATGGTGCAAGCATATATCATAGCGGGAGACCTCGGTCGATTTAAATGGTGTTGGAATGTCTAGGTGTTGTCACCAAGCAAAGCCGTTTTATCGGCATATTCTAAACCAATAACTCTGGTCCCTGGCAAAGTTGAACAGGAATGGGGATCTAAAGTAACCTAGTCATATTCCACAGGATAGGGCGAAAAGTGGCAAAATCTGGCCATATGTCCCAAACTGACTTGAGGTAGGACGGTACAACTCTTTGAGAATCGACACATACTTCTCAAATATTTCATTTCTAACCAACTAATTCCGTAGTTCGGCCCTATCGATACATTCGAAAGCCGCACGGATATCTATGACCACAATGATCTTTGGTCTTTGATATCTATTATGGTGCACTAGAAGTTCTCCGAGGATGAATATTTGATCGATGCATCCACGATGCAAAACCCAACCTGCTCCTCATTGGTCTTCTCTTTATGCGTATTGTATGTTCAGCAGAGAATGACAGGCGTTAGATGCTTTGAAGCTATTGATATAATGCTTATACCCTTATGATTATATGATTGGCTCAGTCATTACGCGGGCACGTTTTGCACATGGGGTCGACAGTCGATCACCCCACCCAAACAAGAGGGATGCTGTTCAGTATGCTAGAATTTAGACAATAGGGCCACTAATTCTAATAACAAGTTTTCTTCAACCATCTTTAAACAGAACCGAGAAAGGCCTTCGGAACCTCGACCGTTGTGACATTCCAAGGCTTAGATCGCCTTAGATCGCCTTACGGACTCCCTCCTCGGGAGATGGGTCTGTTGGGACCAACCATGAGACATGTGCCGAAACAGGTGTTTGAGAAGCTGACGCTGATGACCAGCCAAAATATGTTTTGCAGTGATCAGTCCAACGTGTACGACCTCAATGTTTACAATGAATAGGTGAGCTGTCAGCTTCAGATGTCGTTTCCGTTTCACCTGATTTGAATGCGATGGAACAGCTTACGGGAATTTTCCATGACAGCACCGCTTCCCATCTCTAAAGCACATTGAGTTCACCGTATTTCGCGGGTTCTGTTTAGGTTTTTTTAAGGTTATGCCTCGCAATGAGTAGTGTTTCATTACGATCGGTGCTGATCGGGATTAATTGGTGTGCGTCACAAAGACGTGAAAACTCCGTGGGAATCCAGGGTTTCACGGCCAAAAGTAAGCCAGCAGAATGTAGAGCATTCTTGATAACCGATCAGTGCTAATTGACTTTATCGGGTTTGGTTCTACATTTTCAATTAGGCAAGCTGCATGGGACAGCTTATCATAATCTTACCGTCGTTGTGCTGCTGTACGATGGGCAGTTTGTATGCAACCCCGCCATTTGCTGCTTAAAGCGATGCGCTCCTCAATCACTCGAGGAGGGCGGACGCCAGGTGGCTTACCAGCAGTTGGATTGTCTGAAGTTCGTACTGGAGAGGAATAGTTGGTGGTCGGGACATAGAGCCAACAACAGCTTCCCGTTTCCGAGCGAAAGAAATCTAGTCCGAAAAGACCTACCAAATGCGCCTCAATCGAAGGCAGCCGGTCTACCTTCATAGCTGCTACGAAAATCACGATATCAACCCGATTCCTTTTATGTAAAAGGCCTTGTATTCTGGTAGAACTTATCTTTAATTGCATCTGGGTTGCAATCCGTTGATGTCTACGCAGACACCACAAATAAGTTTCGTTTATCGGGGCAACGGCTGTTTACTTTGCACGAACCTCCAAGTCTCACTGCGCATACCCAACTGTCGACAAGGATCCAATGTTGCAGCGTGGCCTCAACTATCTCCCTGAAAGCCACAGCGAAGCCAGTAAGACCAGAAGCCGCAATCTCAGGGTCCCTAAAAAGGAATATGGGAAACATGACGGAAACCTCAATGGGATGGTGGAGCTGGAGAATCGAATGTGAACTTCTTGCATACAACACATCCCGATGGCTAGGGTCTCGAGCATTCGAACCGAACAGGCCTGCTGT